TATTATTATTATTATTATTGTGTATGTATGATGGGGGAGGGGAATGGGAGCATGTGTAAAGGCCAGAGGACAGTTTGTGGAGTCACTTCTCTTTGGCTCTTACATGGGATGCAGGGATTAAACTCAGGGGTTCAGGCTTGGGTGGTAAATGCCTTTCTTTACCTGCTGAGCCATCTTACTGTCTCCAAGTATAATTTTTATGTTCCAATACAATTAAATTTCATCTGATTGGGGAGATGAGTCAGTAGGTGAAATTCTTGCTATGCAAATATAAGGACTTGAGTTTGAACCTCAGAACTCATGCAAAAAAGCTGGGAAGAGGCCTGGAGAGATGGCTCAGCAGTTAAGAGAACGGGCTGCTCTTGTAGAGGACCTGGGTTCAATTCCCAGCACACACATGGTGGCTCACAACCATCTGTAACTCTAGTTCTAGGGAATCCAAACCCTCTTTCTGTCTGATGTGGTATGCAGACATACATGCAGGCAAACACTTACACATTAATATAACAACAACAATAATAAAGCCAGCAAGCACAGTGCACGCCTGTAATCCCAGCACAGTGCAGGGGAGTCAGGGACAGGAAGGTCCCCAGACTCACTTGTCAAGAAATCTAGTTTAATTGGTGAGAGGCTCAGTGAGAGACCCTGTCTCAATAACAAGGTTGGAGGATGGGCAGGTACTTCAGTGGGTAAATCTATGTGTAGTGCAAGTCTAATTACCTGACTTGGGATCCCCAGGGCACCCCTAAAAACTGGACACGACAGCACTTGTCTGTAATCCCATTGTGCCCTGTAAGAAATGGAAGGGGTTAACAGGGGAACTCTGCGAAGTTCTTGGGCTAACTGGCTGGGCATATGCAGTAGTGAACAAAAAGAGAGACCCTGTGTCAAACAAGGCTTGGGTTCATCCTCTGACATGTTAACACACACACACACACACACACACACACACACACACACTTGTAGGTAATAAGTTCTTTTTGTCCCACCAGCCAGCTCCCAAATAACAACACAGAGACTTACAGTAATTATGAAAGCTCAGCCTTAACTTAGACTTGTCCCACTAGCTCTTATAACTTCAATTAACCCATATATATATATATATATATATATATATATATATATATATATATTTTTTTTTAATTTTTTGAGACAGGGTTTCTCTGTGTAGCTTTGTGCCTTTCCTGGAACTCACTCAGTAGCCCAGGCTAGCCTCAAACTCACAGAGATCCACCTGCCTCTGCCTCCCAAGTGCTGGGATTAAAGGTGTGCGCCACCACCACCCAGCCTTAACCCATATTTTTATTAATCTACATTCTACCATGTGGCTTTTACCTCTCTCCCATTCTGTGTCCAACTCTTCCATGTCATGCTAGCTTTTCTGCCTCTCTTCTTCCCAGAGTCCTTTCTGTGCTTAGAAGTCCCACCTATTCCTCCTGCCTAGCTATTGGCCATTTAGCTCTTTATTAAACCAATCAGGTGTCTTAGCAAAGACACATCTTCACAGTGTACAAAAAGATTATTCCACAACACTTATATACATCACAAACACATTATACATACATTACACACACATTATACTTACACACACATCACACACATATACAACATACATTATACACATATGCACCCAAATCAGGAAGAAATATTGATCTCTGGCTTACACACACACACACACACACACACACACACACACACACACACACACACAAACATGTACACATATACCATGTATACATGCAAAAAATAATTTAAAACAGGGAGTGGTTTAATCCCATGGGACACCTGGGAAACAGAGGCACATGGATCTTTGAGGCCAGCCTGGTCTACATAGCAAGTTTAAGGCCAGCTAAGGCTACATAATGAGACCTTGTCCAAATTTTTAAAAATAGAAAAAGTTGTGAATGCAGAGCTGCTGCAGCCCTCTGGGAGGCAGCCAGGAGTGAGCCTGGGCTGCAGAGGATTGCCCAAAGTAATAAGAAGCATGAAGATCTTCCTAGTCTCTCCCTGCAAGCTTCCTAGGTACCCTCGGTGAGGGGACCTTGGCAAGTGCCCAGTGCCCTTTGTAGGGATTATGTCCTTTTTCCTGTGCTGTAGGGCAGTGAGCAGGGTGCGGTGTGCAACCAAAGAGCAAACCTCTCCTTTAGGATGGACCCAAATTCATGAGTAAACAAAAGGAATCATTTGTTGTTGTTTTAATTTTGCATGTATGCATGTCTGTGCACCACAGGCATGCCGACTGTCCACAAGGACCAGAAGAGGTGGTTGGATCCCCTAGGACTGATTGACAAGGGGATGGTAGGTAGCAACTATGTGGATGCTGGGAATCCAACCCAGGTCCGCCTGTGGTGCCTTCAGCTGCCGAGCCATCTCTCCAGCCCCAGGGGAACACAGAAGGGGTGGTGCAGCGGAGGGAAAAAGGAAGAGAGGGGAGAAGGGACTGAAGGAGGGCTGAGCTCTTCTCCCCACTTCCCGCTCACTTCGGAGAAGCCTAGTGTACAAGCCCACTGGTGGTGCCCACTGGCCTGAAAGCAAAGCTACCTTCCTCCTCCTCCTCCTCCTCCTCCTCCTC